TTGCTGGAAGTCCAATCCCCTCCCACACAAAACCACCTTTACCCCCTCCCTCCAATCTTTGGTAGGCCGACCTCTACCCCGCCTTTCCTCCACTACAGATTTATATACGGTGGTCCCCCGACCTACAATATTAATCCATTCCTGAGAGCTCATCGTAAGACGAAATGATCTACTAAATGAAGAATAAATGACACCTTTATTGAAGATGCAGCAATGACTGATAAGACACTTTCCTGGGAGTGCCTTTTCCTCCTGAGTAATGTAGGTCCTGTTTGGCATTTTCTTCCAGAACAGGCCTTATCACACTGTGTATGCCACTACGATTCTTAAATCTCTCAAACCAACCTTTGCTGGCCTTAAATTCACCAATATGAGCACTAGTTCCAGGCATTTTTTCCTGTTCACCTGGGTATTAGTCGACTGGTGTGGGTTGCATCCTGGGAGACAAGATTAAGGACTTAAGCCCCCCAGTGGAAAATAATTACAGTTCTTGATGACACACTGATTTTTTTGGGTTATCCGGGGGGAAACCCCTCTGGGGTTAATTGTTTCCCCAAATATTTTGATAAGCCACACCAACAACGGTGCACAGCAACCAGCAGCTGACCGGGGTACGATAGACAGTGAACCCCCCCAAACGATTTTAAATCCTTTCCCTAAAGGCTATTGTTGTCAAAATTTATCTTATGCGAATGAATTTTCCCCATAAGAAATAATGGAAATCAAATTAACTTCAAGACCCCCCAAAGTAAAAAAAAAAAATTTTTACCCATGAAATAAAATTTTTAATACACACAAACTAAAAAAGACATCACATTTACATGAACTTACCTTTATTAAAGATCGGGATGTTGATGGGATGGGGAGGAGAGATCCCTAGTGTTTAAAAGGAGAATCCCCCTTTCCCTTAAGAAATTGAGTGCAAGTCCTTTTCCGGGTTACTTCCCTTCCTTTTTAAAGCCACAGACCACTTTTAGAGTCACTGGGCTTCTGTTCGCCAACAAAACGTCCATAGAGTCCTGTACCTCCCGTTCCTTTATGACTTTCCTAAAGTGGTTTTACAACATTGCATGTAATATCCCAGCAAAGGCTTGCATACTGTGTTAGGTATTTTCATCAAAAAAAGGTTTGCACTTAAGCCCATTCAACACATTTCCCTTTTTTCTTTTAAATAGGGAACTTTTTCAATTTTCCTCTCCCCTCCTCCAAGCAGTTTTTCCCCAGTCTGGCCTCATGCTGATGAAGATGACACGCTCATAGTGGTTAGTTCTTTATTGTCCTCCTCCACCCAAATCTTCCACATCATCCCCACAAACCCCCAAACCCCCAAGGACTTTCCCAATGCCAAATGGATTCCTTCAACTGGCATAGGATTCCCAGGGTTAGCCTCAAACCCTTCAAAACCCCTTTTGGTCTACACATTCTGGCCACAGTTTCTTCCAAGCAGAGTTCAAGTCCTCTTAGTCACTCCCTCCCAAGCCTTACCTATAAGGTTTACACAATTGAGGATATTAAAGTGCTCTCTCCAAAACTCTCTTAGAGTCAATTGAGCTTCTGAGGACACTACAAAGCACCTTTCAAACAGAGCTTTTTTGTATACAGTTTTTAAAGGGTTTGCAATAACCTGCTGGTTCATGGGCGCAGGAGAGGAGTGGTTTTAGGAGGCAAAAACTTCACCTTAATGAACCTCATGTCCCCATAAAGTCGCTCTGCCACGTCTGTAGGATGACCAGGGGCATTGTCTAACACCAGGAGGCACAAAGGTCTAATTTTTTTCAGTTTTTTAAATTTTTTTTCATTGGGGCAAATGCTTGGTGTAACCAGTCATAGAAAAAGTCCCTAGTGACCCATCCCTTTAAACTGTTTGCCCTCCACAGCACACACAAATTAGCCTTGAGGATATTCTTTTGCCTGAACCTCTGGGAGTTTCTGAGTGATACACTAATAAAGGCTTCACTTTGCAATCACCACTAGCATTGGAACACATCAACAGAGTAAGCCTGTCTTTCATAGGCTTGTGTCCTGGGAGTTGCCTTTTCCCTGAGAAATGTACATCCTGCTTGGCATTTTCTTCCAAAACAGGCCTGTTTCGTCACAAAAATTAAACACTTGTTCGGTTTCAGTCCTTCACTGTCAATGTACTCCTTGAATTCCTGCACATATTTTCAGCTGCTTTGGGGTCCGAACTGGCAGCCTCACCATGCCTTATCACACTATGTATGCCACTACGCTTTTTAAATCTCTCAAACCAACCTTTTTCTGGTCTTAAATTCACTCACATCATCACTAGTTGCAGGCATTTTTAATTAAATCCTCATGCAACTTCCTAGCCTTTTCACTTATTTATCACTTGAAGATGCTATCTCCTGCATCTGTTTTTCATTTTATCCACACCAATAAGAGTCTCTCAACATCTTCCGTCACTTGCGATCTCTGTTTCGAAAACACAGTTGAACCTTTGGCAAGAACAGCTTCCTTGATTGCCATTTTCTTGGACACAATATAGCAATGGTTGATTGGGGTTTACTATACAACCTGGCCAGCTCGGAGACACGCACTCCACTTTCATACTTAGCAATGATCTCTTTCTTCATCTCTATAGTAATTCTCACCCTTATTCCTGTAGGGTTGGCATTAGAAGCTTTCTTGGGGCTCATGGTCACTTATTTGCAGATAAAATCACCAAAAACACTGTAATAAATGTTCCGATTGTATGCTTGGATGTTACCCCACCGCGGAGGCGGCTGGTAAACAATGCCACCGGGGAACATTGTGAGGATGGCTCAGGCCGCACATTAGAAGCGTCTCGGACGAATAGCGTTGAGCGGGTTTTTTAGCGGTATGCGAGGCAAAATCTTAGCGATAAAATGTATCGGTATGAGGATTTAACGTTATGTGATGCCAACGTAATGCGGGGGTCCACTGTATTTTGATAATATTTCTCACCCTTTTACCACAGGGTTGGCACTAGAAGCTTTCTTTGGGCTCATGGTGGCTTATTTAGCAATTAGAAGCACTAAAAACACTGGAATAATACAAAATATTCCGAATGTATGCGTGGGAGCGACTGCTCTGGCTTGTAAACATTGGCATACTAACTGAAGGCAGGCCAGCTGAGGCGCGCTCAGGCGGACAGACATGTGGACGAGTACCAGACGAATGCTGTAGGTCGAGTTTTTCAACGTACGTCGGGGTCAAACTTTTACACTGAAAAGCATCGTAGGTCGATTTTAACGTAGGTTGGGGACATGGTACGTCAGGGGTCCACTGTACTCTGGAAGTCATTCTATTTTGTTCCATTCTCTCTACATGTCCAAACCACCTCAACAACCCAACAAAATTATAGTAATAATAATGGAATGGGCAAAAGCTGAAATGAGTATCAAAAAGGAAAATAGGTTTCACACATGAAGACTTCTAGTTTCATCGAACAGAACCAAGGAGCATTTAGCATCACAAAATGACTATCAAAACTCATCTCTGAAATGCACATTGCAGGTGAACCAGCAACTTAACATTACCACTCCATTATCCATTACCCATCTAGACTTACCTTCACCTTTTTTTTTTTTTTTTTTAATGGTTTTTATCTGTAGATAGTGTTTTATTACTATACTATACTGGTCAGCAATCCTTCTATTTCATAATACAAGTCCATTCTGAAGTTTTCTCTTATACATTTAAAGATATATTTTTTTTCATTAATGTTAATGTAAAAAATTTTAATTTTGCAACAAAAGAATCTTAGAAAACTTACCTAACCTTATTATAACAAGAGCAATTTATTTTAGCCTAACCCAACTAAATATATTTTAAATACGTTTACAATAATTTAGTACTAAACAAGCACAATCAAATATATATTTTTTGTTAGGTTCAGAATGATTTTGGCGAAATTATTGCATACACAAATTTTCACTTGACCTATATGGCAAGATGAGCGTTGCTATTTAACCCGTAAATGGTCCAAACGTATATATACGTTTTTTAAAAATTTGAAAGTATGTAAAAAAAGTAGATCTTTTTTTTTTTTTTTTTTTTACATTTGAAAATGTGTAAAAAAAACTTTGATCTACTTTTTTTTTTTTGTTATATTTGAAAATATGTAAAAAAAATGTAGATCTACTTTTGTAGCACTACACATGTGAACGTAGATCTGCTTGGACCGTTTACGGGTTAAGCCAAGTTCGCAAGTTCTGCCTATTCGGCACGACATACATACATACATACATATATACATATATACATTTTTTTGTTTTTTTTCAACAAGTCGGCCGTCTCCCACCGAGGCAGGGTGACCCAAAAAGAAAGAAAATCCCCAAAAAGAAAATACTTTCATCATCATTCAACACTTTCACCACACTAACACATAATCACTGTTTTTGCAGAGGTGCTCAGAATACAACAGTTTAGAAGCATATACGTATAAAGATACACAACATATCCCTCCAAACTGCCATTTCCATTTCCACTTCCCATTTCCAGGACTCAAGTCCGACTATATGAAAATAACCGGTTTCCCTGAATCCCTTCACTAAATATTACCCTGCTCACACTCCAACAGATCGTCAGGTCCCAAGTACCATTCGTCTCCATTCACTCCTATCTAACATGCTCACGCACGCTTGCTGGAAGTCCAAGCCCCTTGCCCACAAAACCTCCTTTACCCCCTCTCTCCAACCCTTTCGAGGACGACCCCTACCTCACCTTCCTTCCCCTATAGATTTATATGCTTTCCATGTCATTCCTTTTGCATATATATAAATAATATATATATATATATATATAATATATATTTGTATTTATTTATTTAATTTGTCTTTAAAATAATGGTTTTATCTGTAGATAGTGTTTTATTACTATACGGTCTGTAATCCTTCTATTTCATAATACCTTTTGTAATATATATATATATATAAATATATATATATATATATATAAATATATATATATAATAATATTTTTTTTTTTTTTTTTTTTTTTTTTTTTACTGTTAACAGGTTCGGACAAGATCAGTGGGCGAGTTAGTACAGTTTTATTATCTTTGGAAGAAAACAGAAAGACACGATCTCTTCGCTACTAAAACAAGAATTGAAAAGAAAAAATATATTGTTCATCCTGGCACTACGTAAGTTTCTACTTTATTTAGACTCCATATTCCGGTTAGATAATTGATAGGTGCTGCTTTTGCTTAAAGATTTTCCTAGTTTCATGAGACAGATTATAAATATCTTACCTAGGAATTATACTTTGAGCTTGCATGTGCCCTGTATATAAGCATGTTTACAATTTTTTCCTTTTTTACCACGTAGCTCACTTTGAATTTAGTACAGGCAGACATCTCGTTATGCAAGAGTTAAGTTCCTGAAAATAACGCCATGTAATTTCACTCTATGAATGATGTATGGTAAAAATTGGGTTAGGTTCGTGACACCTCTAGGAAATACAAACTTTTTTAAAATATCTTATTTTATTAAAGGTAATGAAGCTTTTTGGCAGAATACATTGTAGATGTTGTTGCTTGTTGATTGAGAAATGTATGTTATGTACCCAAATTCTACATAATAACTCCCAGATAAAGCTAGTATTTGAGGCAATATGCCATCTTTTCCTTCCAAAGACAATGATGACGGCTAATAACAAAAAAAGGCACAATACCGTGACTGGAACGATACACAAATAACCCGCACATAGAAGAGAGGAGCTTACGACGACAGCTAATATGGTGCCAGTGACTATTATAAATTTATACCATAATCTTATCAGTAGAAAATATGCTTAAAAAGGAACAAGAAAGAGTTTTAGCCTACTTTAAATTCCTTGTTTCTTTTGCTTGTTGATATGGATGTGTATGGAGATGCTTATGTAGCTCATTGCACAGTAGACTACAGCAGGTGGTCTGATTTATAAGTTGATGCCTCTCGCATTTCATCAGATGTTGCCATCACAATTCACTATACAGTTTTCTTGTTTATAGTAGAGACAAGGAAGAATTTTGTTCTTCCTTAAATTCCTTGTTCTCTTGCTTATTGATAAATAGGTGGAGATGTTTGTGTGACTGCTCAGTAGTAGATGGCTGTGAGCCCTCTGTTTATATTTAATCAGCTATTGGCTGTTGAGGTTAAGAGGGCCACAGCATGTGCCATATTGAGCCAGAGTCAGAAACCAGCTTTCCCATGGCCATGTAAATCTCTGTACAGGAAAGTTTTCATGCTTGATGCACTGTTTTGATCCTTCAGCTATCTATCACATGCTAGTTTGTTATAATGATCATAAGTCCCTGATGTACTAGAACAGATAATTCATAGCTACATCAAATTTGCTGTAAGCAGCGAATTCATCAAATTTGCTGTGGGCAGCAAATTTTGGCCTAGACAGGAGAGAATGGGTTGTGTGGTGGATGTGAGCAGCTTGAAAAAAAAAAAATTGTGCCCCACGCATTGCATGATGGGAACAGCTGACCTCTGACCCTGCAATTGAGTTACAATAGCTAATTTGGTGTTTATTAAGGTTTGGGTTTTTTTGGGCTGTTTTTGATGTTATAGAATAAGATTCTCTTGTCATTTAGAGGATAATATACAGTAGACCATCGATTAAGATGGTAGTTAGGATTCCTGAAAATCCAGCGTTAGGTGAATCTGTTAAAGGAACTGAAGAACTTATGGGAAAATGGGTTAAAATTCCTAGGACCCCCTAGAAAAGCCAAATAACTTTTTTTTTTTTTTTTTTTTTTTTAAAGGGCTCCATATCTTAGGCAAATAAAAATGATAATGCAGTTGTTGTTCATTGTCGTTATGTATGTTTCTGTTGTTCAAGGCTACAAATGCAACAAAAATAGTACTTTAATATTATCTTAAATTGTGGTTGCTGGTGTTGTCAATGATTGTAAAGAGGGAGTGGATAGGCATGCTGAGGCCCATCTGGGCTAAGGTGGATGGTAGTCCAGTCAGTAAGTCAGTCCAGTCAAGTGAGTCAGTAGGTCAGTCACTCATGTCATTACAATCATTCAGTTCAGTAGGTCACTCATTCAAGTCAGTAAAGTCATTCAGTAAATCAGTCAAATTGGTCATTAAGCCAGTCAGGTCAGTAAATCAGTCAAGTCAGTAGATCATTGTAATTTAAAAAAATCGTCAATCAGTAGATCAGTTGTAATTAAATAAATCAGTCAAATCAGTAAGTTAGTCAAGTCAGTCAGTAAATCAGTTCATTATTCAGTAAATCAATTGGTCAAATCAGTAAGTCATTCAGTAAATCAGTCAAGTCATTCAGAAATTCAGTAAATCAGGTCAATAAGTCATTCAGTAAATCAGGTCAGTCAGTAAGTCAGTCATTCAGTAAATCAATAGGTCAGTCAAATCAGTAAATCAGACGACAGCCCGGGTTATTCATTGCACAAGCCCATATATTTGCTTCACTCTTTTTAATTATACGAACCGACGCTTCACTAAGGCGATAAGCTCTTGCCATGTCCACCACACAGACATCACATTTAAGCTTATCTAATACAGTGGACCCTCTAATTACGAGTTTAATCTGTTCCTTGACCTTGCTTGTATCCCGACTTGCTCGTATGCTGAGTCAGTTTTCCTCATTTAAATTAATTGAAATGCAGTTTATCCGTTCCGGCTCTCAGAAGGCATTACAAATACTTCAATATTTCGTTAATATCAACTCTACGGCTTATTTATCTATCAAAATTCGTCTGATATACATAATAAACAATATAAATAACAGAAACCTGATATATAGTCTAGAATAAATAAAATATGTCATTATGTGACAGGTGGAGGCAGGCATAACTGCTTCTGCTTTGTTGTATTCACTGCCATCTAGTGATGGCCTTTCGAAGCCATCTATTATTATAATTTTTTTTTTTTAACAAGTCGGCCATCTCCCACTGAGGCAGGGTGACCCAAAAAGAAAGAAAATCCCCAAAAAGAAAATACTGTCATCATCATTCAACACTTTCACCTCACACATAATCACTGTTTTTGCAGAGGTGCTCAGAACACAGCAGTTTAGAAGCATATACGTGTAAAGATACAAAACATATCCCTCCAAACTGCTAATAACCCGAACCCCTCCTTTAGAGTGCAAGCATTGTACGTATTTCTCATTTCCAGGACTCAAGTCCGGCTATATAAAAATAACCAGTTTCCCTGAATTTTTTTTTTTTTTTTTTTTTCAACAAGTCGGCCGTCTCCCACCGAGGCAGGGTGACCCAAAAAAGAAAGAAAATCCCCAAAAAGAAAATACTTCATCATCATTTAACACTTTCACCACACTCGCACATTATCACTGTTTTTGCAGAGGTGCTCAGAATACCCAAAAGTCTAGAAGCATAAACATATAAAGAACACACATATCCCTCCCAAAATGCCAATATCACCAAACCCCTCCTTTAAAGTGCAGGCATTGTACTTCCCATTTCCAGGGCTCAAATCCGACTATATGAAAATAACCGGTTTCCCCTGAATCCCTTCACTAAATATTACCCTGCTCACACTCCAACAGATCGTCAGGTCCCAAGTACCATTCGTCTCCATTCACTCCTATCTAACACGCTCACGCACGCTTGCTGGAAGTCCAAGCCCCTTACCCACAAAACCTCCTTTACCCCCTCTCTCCAACCCTTTCGAGGACGACCCCTACCCCGCCTTCCTTCCCCTATAGATTTATATGCTTTCCATGTCATTCTACTGTGATCCATTCTCTCTAAATGACCAAACCACCTCAACAACCCCTCTTCTGCCCTCTGACTAATACTTTTATTAACTCCACACCTTCTCCTAATTTCCACACTCCGAATTTTCTGCATAATATTTACACCACACATTGCCCTTAAACAGGACATCTCCGCTGCCTCCAACCGTCTCCTCGCTGCTGCATTTACCACCCAAGCTTCACACCCATATAAGAGTGTTGGTACTACTATACTTTCATACATTCCCTTCTTTGCCTCCATAGATAACGTTTTTTGACTCCACATATACCTCAACGCACCACTCACCTTTTTTCCCTCATCAATTCTATGATTAACCTCATCCTTCATAAATCCATCCGCCGACACGTCAACTCCCAAGTATCTGAAAACATTCACTTCTTCCATACTCCTCCTCCCCAATTTGATATCCAATTTTTTCTTATCTAAATCATTTGACACCCTCATCACCTTACTCTTTTCTAGTTCACTTTCAACTTTCTACCTTTACACACATTCCCAAACTCATCCACTAACCTTTGCAATTTTTTCTTTAGAATCTCCCATAAGCACAGTATCATCAGCAAAAAGTAACTGTGTCAATTCCCATTTTGAATTTGATTCCCATAATTTAATCCCACCCCTCTCCCAAACACCCTAGCATTTACTTCCTTTACAACCCCATCTATAAATATATTAAACAACCATGGTGACATTACACATCCCTGTCTAAGACCTACTTTTACCGGGAAGTAGTCTCCCTCTCTTCTACACACCCTAACCTGAGCCTCACTATCCTCATAAAAACTCTTTACAGCATTTAATAACTTACCACCTATTCCATATACTTGCAACATCTGCCACATTGCTCCTCTATCCACTCTATCATATGCCTTTTCTAAATCCATAAATGCAATAAAAACTTCCCTATCTTTATCTAAATACTGTTCACATATATGCCTGAATCCCTTCACTAAATATTACCCTGCTCACACTCCAACAGATCGTCAGGTCCCAAATACCATTCGTCTCCATTCACTCCTATCGAAAAAGCTCATGCATGCCTGCTGGAAGTCCAAGCCCCTCGCAGAATGAACCTCCCTTACCCCTTCCTTCCAACCTTTTCTAGGACGACCCCTACCCCGCCTTCCTTCCCTTACAGATTTAAATGCTCTCCATGTCATTCTACTTTGATCCATTCTCTCTAAATGACCAAACCACCTTAACAACCCCTCTTCAGCCCTCTGACTAATATTTTTATTAACTCCACACCTTCTCCTAATTTCCACACTCCGAATTTTCTGCATAATATTTACACCACGCATTGCCCTTAGACAGGACATCTCAACTGCCTCCAACCGCCTCCTCGCTGCTGCATTCACAACCCAAGCTTCACACCCATATAAGAGTGTTGGTACTACTATACT